AAGTAAATAAATGGAAATAATTCCCGTAATCCCAGCCACACACCTTAATAGGAATCAATACTCGTTTGAAAGGATTTAAGGGAATTTGGGGAAATTGCAGTGGGTGTGACTTTAATGATTCCCTAGATTCCTGATCCTGAAAGGCAGGGAGGAGAGCGAAATTTCGTGCAACCAGAAAAGCCTGCGAGCATGGCATCCAGAGCATTCAGCAATCCTTGCCTAGACGCCTAACACATACACTTCCCTTTATGCTGATGCATTTTGGTAGAGGAGGAAAATCTGGGGTATTTGGAATGTGGAGGGAAAATGGGAATGGAGAAGATAATTGTCATGTAGCACAGGATGTCTTGTGCTGCCTGACTGAATTGCTTCCACTGTTTTGTAATCCGACATGTAGCCTTGTGAGAAACGTGGACTATAAATAAACAAATACACTTCATAGGCCCTGGTCACATGGAGAATTTGCCACGCGAATGGCATGAACGCTGGGCGGATTTTCTGGGCATGATCACACCGCAACATCTGGGAAGTGTAGCGCACCCATGGCCAACCCATGGCATGCCGCCGAAGGTGCGCAGTTAAAAAGTACCTGCAAAGATCTACTAGCAAATGGTTTGCCACCGGCTGCAGACGGAGTAGTTTGGTGTGATTGTGCCAGCGCACGCCTATTCCCTCCAGCCGTCCTCTTTGCAGCACGCGCCGAAGGACGAAACCCTGGTGCGCCACCGTCGCGTCTGATCGCATAATGGCGGATCAGAATGTGACGGCGCAAATAGCCACGCCTCCCGCACCCACGTTTTCTGGCACATGTGGCCAGGGCCATAGTTTGCTTAACTTCTTGAAATTAGCCCTAAAGGGAGTCTGCGAGGTGCCCTCAAGGAGATCCGCAAGTTCAAGGTATCAACCATTTATCTGACAAATCTGACCTTAAGAACACACACGGGGGACAGAGTGGAATGAGGAAAGAGGCCATAGAGGTGACAGAGTTACCTTCTGTGTGATGTGGTTGACCCAAAGGGAAGAGCAGTTGCTGAGGTCTGGTCCTTGAGGGTCCCATATCCCACCAGGAGCGAGACACAGAAACGTTGACACGCCTATAGAAGATGAAGAAAACGTTTTGAGAGATGGAGGGTGGGTGGGGTGGTCATAGCTGCCTTCTGAAATAGGTACCCGTGACAGCCCCTTTCTTGAAACTGAGAGAATTTGCCCTGCCTCTCTGATGAATCTAGAGAACTAGCTGGGTTTTGTGATATAAGCCTCCCCCCCCCCCCAGTTCAAAGCAGGGTCGCAAGTGTAAAGTCTGGGTCACTGCTGTGAGGTAACTTTTGTGTTGAGCCTGAAGAGTGCAGAGATCACTGAAGCAAGAGGTTTAATTAAACAACAAAAAAGATTTATTTATATGCAGGTTATGGAGTGAATTCTCTTTAAAGCTTGTAGTTACCAGGTCTGATCATCACCAGAGATAGACCTCACAACTCTATCCTCTTCCAGAGGTTGAACTGCTTTTGAGGGAAACGGCTTTTCCCGTTTTCAATCCCTTTATAGCACTTCTGGATCACTGTGGTGTGCTGTTTTAAATGTCCATAGCGCTTCTTGCAATGCCGCTCCCCTGCCCTTTTTCGCTGCACAATTTTCCTCTGACTATAGCATTTTAGTGCTATAGCAGTTTAGCGCTATAGAACTCACCTTAGAATGTAAAAAAAAAATCTGAGGAAGATTGTGTGGTGAAAAAGGGCAGGAGGGGGAAGGGGCATTTTTTGAAATGACCACCGAGCTTCAGAGACAGCTCATTAACAGAAGGAAATTTGCTGTATGAAACCCCTGTCCCTGTATCGCTTTACTTGAAACCACGAATAACATTCGGTTTAGAATGGTAAAGTGAAAAGGGCCTTCGTTTCTCAAAAGTAACATATTTTAGGCCTTTAGCTGAAATGAAAATAACCTCCTCAAAGAAATCTGGCATATGGTCTCTATGCACACTTAATGTAACATGGATTCTTCCTGTGATAGGATAAAATTTTTGATAAGAACGTAAGAAGAGCCCTGGTGGATCAGACCAGTGGTCTATCTAGTCCAGCCTCCTGTCTCACACAGTGGCCAACCCGCTCCTCTGGAGGGGCAACAACAGGGCATAGAAGCCGAGGCCTTCCTAAGAACAAAAGAAGAGCCCTGCTGGATCAGATCAGTGGTCTATCTAGTCCAGCATCCTGTCTCACACAGTGGCCAACCAGTTCCTCTGGAGAGCCAACAACAGGGCAGAGAGGCCGAGGCCTTCTAAGAACATCAGAAGAACCCTGCTGGATCAGACCAATGGTCCATTTAGTCCAGCATCCTGTCTCACACAGTGGCCAACCAGTTCCTCTGGAGAGCCAACAACAGGGCAGAGAGGCCGAGGCCTTCCAAGAACATCAGAAGAACCCTGCTGGATCAGACCAGTGGTCCATCTATCCAGCATCCTGTCTCAGTCAGTGGCCTACTAGTTCTTCTGGATGGCCAGCAACAGGGCACAGAGGCCGAGGGCTTCCCCTCATGTTCCCTCCTGGCACTGGGATTCAGGGGTTTACTGCCTTTTTATCTTTTGTGTACTATCCCAAACTTTGCCAAATATGTATTTTTCAAGTATGAAATTTGTAACACTAAAATAATGTTATTTTCACGGTCTACTGGCTCTGACTGTGGGGGTTAGCTGATAATTGTATTGCTGTCTGCAGGATACAAATGTTTCACTTCTGCCCCTTTTTTGTTCGTCATCAAATCAAGGGGAGCAAAGCACAGACTCTTAAATCATCACAAAAATATCACTGCAGCACTTAATAAGGAAGGCCCATCATTCCATGGCATGATTACTGGTCACTTGATCTTCCTAAACTTGAATATAATAATTGAGTTGAATCATAATCACATTTGAAGCGCAACATTCCTCTAGGGACCTTCACCATTTAGTTAAGGAGGAAATGGAGAGACTTTTTTCCTCCTAGTAGCATGCTATGATTGTTTTTGGCAGTCGTAATAAGTTTGCTACTATTTCTAAATGTACACTCCTGACAGTGCTTTCCCCAGATATAGGTGCAATGGATTTAGCAAGAGTAACCTGCTCATTATTAAATGATTCCTACATGGGGGCAAGAATCGAGAAATTGTTTTATGGGCTCACCTACAGTCCCCCTCGGGCACGGCTGCTTTGCCACCTGTCCTTGGCGGGTCTTGAACCACACAATCTCGCGAGCCTCCACGGTCTCACAGCTCTCTGCTCCGATAGCAGGCAGCTGGGAAGAGGCGGGCACCAGGTGCGTGGTCAGTTCGTTGGGGACATCCACCGCTGGGGAAGGCGTGCTCGTGCTTCTGTTCCTTCTGCCCAAAGCCGACACTGTGGTGGTACGCACTGTGCTGCTGGCGACGATACGGGGTGTTGTACTCGTGGTCATGCCCCCCAGCCCCGTGGCTCCAGATGTTGATGCTACCAGTGGAAAGCAAAAATTAAATTATATTAAATTACATTTCAAAAAGTCCAGACTGCCGCCAGTTAGTGAAAGGCTAACATGTATTTTCTAGTTAGTATTTCCTAATTAGTAGGAACACATATTTCTTGGCACAATGACTTTCAACAGGAACTACTTCCCCCCTACCTGTCCCTCCAATTTGTCACCTGTTCCTTTGGAAAAAAAACCCTCTTTCATCCTAATGACTGCATTCCAAAAGGTCGCCTGAATGGAAGAAGAGACAGTAGATGCTCCTCAAGTGTAAGGAGAACCTCTAGTGTGAATTGTTGGCTGTGCAGAAGTTATCTACACAAGGACGGGTACGTGCTACAAGCTGCAGGAAGGACCCAAGGAATGTGATTTCCGATTGTTGCCCATCAGTCAGGCAAACCTGGACCCAGGTATGACACACACACAAACACACACACACACACAAATGTGCAAGCATCGCAATATCAGCCTGCTTTGCTAGATGGGGTTCAGTCCTACAACTCTGCTCAACTAAATGTGGGGCCTTTCAGACATGCAAGAAACCTCCCTCTAATGGAAGAGCCTTCTCCAGTGGAAGGCAGGGACTGTTGACGTAACTTAGTGGAGTGGTAGCAGGCAACCCATGGAGATTACGGCTTGGATCTCAGAGAACATTTCCAGTGAAGGAAGGGACTCCCCTGTCAATTTAACCCCCAGTGCCCTTGAAATACTGCTCTTGTGGGAAATGAGATGGCCAAGAACAGCATGAGGGGTTGGTTTGCCAGCACCCCAGGGGGACAAGGGATTCCCTGCCCACAGCTGGTGTTCAGTGGTGGTGGTGGGGAATGACTGTTGGCCAAAGTGATGTCACCCCCCCCAATGGTCAATATAATCCTGCATTTGACAACAGCAGTGAGAATTCTATATGCACGCCATTGGCAAAAAAGAATACCATACTTAGTACAGAAGAATGGATTGTGAAGTGTAAAGAAACTTACATGGTTATCAGATTGACTGCCCTGAAAAAAGGTGATCTGGCTCAATTAGATCGGACTTGGCAATGTTCCTCCCCGTCCCCAACTGATAGTCATTTATGAATATACATGTCAGTCTTTGTGTTCGAGAACTGTGACATCTTTCTGTTTTGTGATGCAATAAGCAAAACTGTAAATAAACGAATTTAAAAAAAACACACCCAAAAGTCGGATGAAGTGATGTCACAGTGTCCCACGTCCCCCAGCTTGGTGTCTTGCTGGTTGCCAGGCTGGGCCTGGTAACCCTGGAGGGGTAGTCAAATATCTGCTGTGGAAGGGGGGGAGTCAGAGAAAACTGCCCCCCCTCTCCATCCATTTGTGGATATGCTCCATGGGATCCATACCTTTACCTACTACAAAAGTGCTGTGGGAGTTGCGAACTGCCCCATGTCTGTGAGCTGGCAGAGATTTGGTGAATTCTGTAATATTCGCTTGGCCAAACATGTACCACAGAACGTGTGAACAGCACAATGATCGCTAACAGGAAAATAAAGGGAAGGATTCCTCTAAGTTTGTCACCTTCTCTATCTATCCATCTATCTATCCATCTATCTATCCATCTATCTATCCATCTATCCATCTATCCATCTATCCATCCATCTATCCATCCATCTATCCATCCATCTATCCATCCATCTATCCATCTATCCATCTATCCATCCATCCATCCATCCATCCATCCATCCATCCATCCATCCATCCATATTTCGATTTCTAGGCCGCCCTCCCCACAAGCGGGCTCAGGGCGGCTAACATCCAGGCACGCATGCCAAATATATAAAAACAAGATAAAACACATAAATTACAAACACTACAAATAAAGTGCTTCAAGATGGTTGCAGGTGGTAGTCTTCAGTTTAAAAATGGTATCCAAAGGATATTCGGTCAGATCCCGGCTCAGTGGTATTCGCATGCCACAGTGCAAATAGTTCTCCATGGGCTGTGGCAAATCTAAGGCTCTTCTACTAATCACAACCAGCCTCTCCCTACGTGAAGGAACAGTTTTGAGTTTTAAGGACTCGTGGGCAGAACAAATGGCATGTGCTTTCTTCCTGTGACTACGTAATCCAGGAGACCCAGTTCTCTGGCAATGCATAGTGAACACACACAAAAGGGGCCTCATCCTGAATCAGAACGTTGGTCCATCAAAGTCAGTGTTGCCTACGCAGACTGGCAGTGGCTCTCCAGGGTCTCAGGGGGAGGTCTTCCACATCACCTTCCACCTGGTTCTTTTAACAAGATGCTCTGGGGATTGACCCTGGGACCTTCTGCATCCCAGGCAGATGTTCTACCACTAGGGTCCCCCGTTTTGGGGGGAGGTTCTACCCGCCCCACCCCCAACACCCACAGCCACCCATCTCTCTCCCTTTAAGTGTGTGGAACCCGTGTTTCCTCCCAAGCCTGATCTCCGCAAGCTTGCAGGGAAATGCCAGCTTCGTGCTCTTAAAAGGGAAACGCGGCTGCTCTTAAAAGGGAAACGCCGGCTCCTTTAAGTGCAGGGAACTGCAGTTTTTGGAGATCTGGCACACGGGGGGGGGGGACGGCCGACATCCCCAACGTGACGTCATCACGCCGGGGATGCCCCGCCCCTCCAGGAACGCCCCCAAAGTCCCCCGCTGGGGGTGGAAGATGGACTTGGCAACCCGATCTACCACAGAGCCATGGCCCCTCCCACTTGCAGTAATTTCAGTTTCTGTTTTGGGGCCCCCACCTGGCCATCACAGTCTACCACCACCAGTGATGCATGCAAAGCTGCTTGCTCTCCCCTTTGGATTCATTCCCCCCGGGAGGGCTTCCCCTCTCCGTGCCCCCTCTGTGAGAGGCCTCAAATAACCACACAAGATGGACAAGCCCGTTCCTTAAGATTATGACAGACCTAAGGAGTGTACGAAACCTATGTAGGATAGTAGATAAGATTAGATTCATTTTTTTAAAAAAAAGAAAGTACTGGCTTCAGGCATAATTCAGAAATCAATTTTATGAAGACCCCGAGATACATGATCACACTAACTGCATGTGCTTTAAATTTCACTTACTCATTTATATGATTTAAAACCGATCTAATTGGTTGTTAGAAAAGAACAAGGCATCTGAATCATTTACATATAAATGGTTTTTCACTCTGGCTCAAGCTATGATTAAATGCCAACCTGAGCAAACTTACTTGACATTCGATAGTACAGAATACAAATTCATCCACCGGGTCAAACGCAAACTCTTAAATCCTGGGTAAGACAGTGGTATATCAGGGGATTGGGTGTTTTTTTATCATCCTAACTTTATCATCGCCGTTTTATGTTTGGAGTGTTCATTTTTACCATGTTTGGCTCCAGGAACAAGTTTATAATTACAGTGGAAATAAAGACTTCTCAGAACAGATGTAGGGTGGCGATGGTGTCATTTCTACAGGAAACATTTTAGGCTTTGAACGATAGCTAAATAAAATGTTGCTCATCTTGCATTAGAAAAACCCCCACGGTGCTTACAACGGAGCTCACAGAGCAGGGCTGCCAACCTCCAGGTGGTAGCTGGAGATCTCCTGGGATTACATCTGATCTCCAGGAGACAGAGATCACGTCACCTGGACAAAATGGCCGCTTTGGAAGAAGGTGAGATCAGATTTATACCCCACCTTTCACAACCTGAAGGCGTCTCAGAGCGGCTTACAAACTCCTTTCCCTTCCCCTCCCCACAACAGACACCCTGTGAGGTAGGTGGGGCTGAGAGAGCTCTCTCGAGAACTGCCCTGGAGAGAACAGCTCTAAAACAACTTATGACTGACCAAAGGTCACGCCAGCAGCTGCATGTGGAGTGGGGAATCAAACCCAGTTCTCCCAGATGAGAGTCCGTGCTTCGAACCACTACACCAAACTTGCTGTCCTTGGCATTATACCCCACTGAAGCCCCTCCCCTCCCCAAACCCCGCCCTCCTCAGGCTTCATCCCCCAAAACCTCCAGGTATTTCCCAACCCAGAGCAAGCAGCCCTACCACAGGGTTCCAGGCTATTCCTATTACATTCAGAAGCCTGCTGTAGAATCCTCCTGTTTCTTGCATAAACCAGGAAGAAACAGGTTTAATTTCTCTCCCTTCATACTTACAAACCGCACACATCAGCAGACTAAGGCAAGTGTGTGTAGTTAGGCCAAGGCACAGCGTGAGTGGAAATGCCAAGAGGCATTTCCGGGATCCCCAGCGGATCACTGCAATTCACTGAGAAAATACAATTTCTCCCTATAACAGGATAAACACACAAGCCATCATTTCTGCTGAATCCATTTTCAAAGACAAACAAGCGGGCACCACATCATCAGCCTGCTCCGGCGGCAAAAGAATACTCGCGAGGCTCACAGCATACAAGGTTTTAAAGAGGAAGAAGAAGAAGAAGAAGAAGAAGAAGAAGAAGAAGAAGAAGAAGAAGAAGAAGAAGGCAGGCAGGAAGGCAGGAAAGAAAGAAAGAAAGAAAGAAAGAAAGAAAGAAAGAAAGAAAGAAAGAAAGAAAGAAAGAAAGAAAGAAAGAGGGAAAGGTGAGAGGAAGGAAGGAAGGAAGGAAGGATGGAAGGAAGGAAGGAAGGAAGGA